CAGCAGGAAGGTACAGCCCTGTCCCCTGGACCTGGCGGGGACACCCAGGACCCCTTCGCCTCATTCCTGGGCATGAAAGCCTTCCGCTAGGGTGGGGGGTGAGACCCTGCAGGTGGGGCCTGGCAAGACCTCGACCCATTGCCCTCCTTCTCACCGTCGCTGCTCACTCCTCTCTGTCCCTTGCTCTCTTCCCAACCCAGCTCTTTGGCTTCACAGAGCGGTACGGAACACCCATGTCGTCCTCCCGGGAGCAGCCCAGGCTGTCTGGATTTCAACACTTTCTGCACAGCCTGCAGCCCGGGGTGGCTGAGGGTGAGTCGGGGAGGAAGAGTGGCCACAGGCCCTGGCAAGAGCTTCCTACTCATGCATGGCCTTCTCCCCACCCTGCTCTTGTAGCTCCTGTAGTCCCCACAGAGGAGGCTCAGGCTGGCGCACCACGGCCCACTTCCCCGCTGATGCACATCGAGGGCTTCCTTGCAGCTCTCACCACTGCCAACCAGGACGGCCGGGTCCTCCTGAGTCGCCAAGGTAACAGGCGCCCTGTCCTGGCCACGCCCTGTTGTGGTGCCTGCCAGGCTTCCAGGCAGATCTGACCCCTCTATGCCTGGGGCAAGCAGTGGGGTGCATGGGAGGCGGTGTGAGAGGCTGGGATGGTGGCTCTTGGGCCAGGTTTCTAGAGGACTGGTGGTTAATAAGGTCAGATGGACTTTGCTGAGTCTGTCTCCTAAAGCTTGGACCAGTCTCTGGACTGTTTCCTCTAGAAGGGAGGTGGTGGTACTGTTGCTCTCAGAAGCTGTCTTGCAGATGAAATGGGGTTGGATAGAGAAAGTGCCAGCTCTCGTGTCCCTGCACAGACCCGACGGGGGCCTCCTTGCTCTGACACCCCATGGGGCTGCACCCCACCCCTACCCCATGCATCTCTGTCCTTTCCTCAGGCAACCTCAGTCAGAGCAGCCTCAAGTTCTTGCTCCTGAACCCGGGCGTGCACTTCGCACAGGTGGTGAAGGAATGCCGTTTTTTTTAATGCCGAGCAGTGGTCATCGCGGGGGGCACCATGCAGCCGGTAAGGACAGCAGCACCAGCTCCCGTGCCCAGGTGTTGGGATGGGTCAGGGTCAAGGCAAGGCGCACCATGAAGCCTCTTCCCTCTCTGGGGGGCCCTGAACCAGGAAGGGGAGGGCTCGAGCAGCCCACGGTACCCACTAGGCAGCACTCCTGTGCAGTCTGCCCATTGTCTTTGGGCCCACGGGGACAGGGGCCCCCAGATGCTGTTTTCCTGGCCCCATCCCGCTGCCCCCAGACAGCTGCCCTTAGTTCCAGACCCCAGGTAGGGTCTCTCTGCATTCCCCCTTCCTGCATCTGCCATTGAGGCATCAGCCTCCTCTCTTGTGTAGGTGTATGCTTCAATGTGTATTTCCTAGAGTAGCAGTATACTGTAATTTCATTGCGGAGAGCAGAGACACGGACGGGGGAAAGATCCTAATTCTACCAACAAAAGACTCGTTTTGGTGTATACACGACAAGGCCTTCTATGCATAATTTTCACATATACTTATACGTAATCTACAGAAAAAACACAATGGCCGAGTCTCTACATGCCCCTGTTACAGTTTGCTTTTTTTCACTCAACAACAAGGTATCGAACGTGACTTTTGTCAGCAAGTGCTCGTCTTTTCCTTTTCCACCGCCCCTGGCTCATACGTGGATATCCAAGTCATCTCCTGCTCCCAGTCCTTTGACGTGACCCTTTAGTCTTGGGCTGTGCTCTTACCGTGCAGCAGACGCCAGATCCCACACGCCAGCCAGGGTTCGAGGCTCGGCCCCAGTTACGTGCTAGGCAGTATAGTCACTCCCAGGATCATGGTGGGATGGGGCTAGGGGGAAAGGATTCTGTGTGACTCAGGACCAGCATCTCCCACCCTCGCCCCTCACTGGAACCCTGCACTGCCGCAGATGCCCTGGTGTCTTACAGTGAGGAATGAGAGTCAGACACCAAGGCTGGAGTGAGGGCTATTCTGAATCATCCTGTGTGGGCATTTTACTAGACAGACCTCAAATACATTTTCTGGGGACCAACAGTTGGTGTAATGGCTATGTTGCTGGCCTCCCATGTAGTCAACCATGGTTTGAGTACCAGACCTGGTGGCTTAAACTCACACCGGGCGCATGTACGTGCGTGCCCAAGATCCCAAGAAGAGAATGAAAGAGAAGGGATTGCGGTGTGGCCATCCCCACTGAGGGGTGATTTCTTTCTCTCTGTCTCTCTCTGTCTTTCTGGAGAGTGCACACACCCTATAGCAAAAACCTCTCTGAAAAAAAAAAAAATGAAATGCATTTTCTGAAATCATTGAGTCCATGTTGATATGAAAATCCAAATCAAGGAGTTAATTTATTTAGCTTTATATCTTTTCCTCTTAAGCTAAACATTTGGTTTTTGTGGGAACCAGCAGTTAGTGTAATGGCTATGTCGCTGGACTCCCACGTAGTCGACTGTGGTTCGTGTCCTGGACCTGGTGGCTTAAATCTCACACCGGGCGGGTGTGCGTGCGTGCCCAAGATCCTGAGAGGAGAATGGAGGAGAAGGGATTGCGGCATGACCATCCCCCCTGGGACGTGATTTCTCGCTTTCTGTCTCTCTGTCTCTCTGGCGAGCGCACGCGCCCTATAGCGAAAAAACCTCTCCCCCCCAAAAAAAAAAATTTTGGTTTTTGTCTCGGTTTGTTTTTATTTTAGAGTTTTTTATTTCCCTTTTTGACTTAATGCTGTTATTATGAGTATTATGTTATAGAGAGATTTTTGCTATAGGGTGCATGCACTTGCTGGAGAAATAGACAGAGAGAGAAGGTGTGCTATTACCCCTAGTAGGAGTGGCCACATTGCAATCTTCTCCATTCTCCTATTGGGATTTTGGGTACCCACAAGTACCTGGTGTGAGTTTCAAGTCATTGGGTCTAGGACTTCAACCAGAGTCGGCCATGTGGAAGTCCAGTGCCTTAGACTACCTGCTGGCCCCTATTATTATTTTTTTAATTGTCAGAGAGCACATGAACTCTCCAGATAGAGCTGGAGGAAGGGGGTAATCCTCCAGTGGGCACTGTCCTGCCCTTTTCTTCCATTTCTCCACCTCTTGGGATGTTGGGTACACATGTTCAGTACCCAGCCAGTTTTTCAAGCTGCTGGGGCTGGGATTTGAACTGTGGTCAGCCATGTGGAATCTGGCTCCCTTAACCACCAGGCTAATTCTGTTCTTTGTTTTCTTTTTGTCATTTGCAATAGGGCACATATGCTCACCGGAGAGAGTGAGATGGAGGGTGAGAGGAGGAGAGGTTTTCTTTTCTTTTCTTTTTTTTTTAATATAAAAATGAGCAAATACATATATATGTGCATTAGTTTTCCCTTTTCTGGGGCCAGTTTTTACCAGTGTGTCCTGGTGACTGTTGTCAGCCACGTGGTGGTCACGAGTTGGCTGCCATGTTTGAAGCTGGTGGAGGTAGCAGAGTCCCTTCAGCCAGGCCCCTGCAGCTGGGCAGCCTTGCTGTGACACAGAACCTCACAAGAACAGTCCTCATGGCTGTGTCTCATGTCTGTGGACCAGTGATGCCTGGACATGGGATTGCAGAGTTACTGAACGGGGAGCTCTACACCCCAGTCCAAGAACCCAGAGCAGGTCTTACCTCTTACCACCCAATGGAACAGAGGCAGGATTGTCGCTGAAAGAGGAAAGGAGAATGTATTACTCTGGCCACGCTGGGAAAACATTTAAGAATATCTTTGCCTTCTTAGCCAATTTATAATAGAAGTTTTATAGGGGAAGGGGTGCCAAGTGGCTTACAGCCATCCCTAGAAAAGCATGGATCAGGTTAATTTTTAGCTGGGGGCACTGTCAAATAATTTGTCTTCAGGACAGGAGTTTTGGTCTCAGCTAAGGGGTACAATCAAATGATCCATCTTCAAAGACAGGAGTATCGGCTTGTTGCTGGGGCAGAACGTTCCCCATTGTTTCAGCTCCAGTTGGCTGTTCGTCTCCTTGGAGTTCCTGTGAGAAACCCCAGAGTACCAGACCGAGAAAGAAACAGTTTGGGATTTTAACAAGACAGAGTCCATTTGGTTAACCAGTCTCTGGTTACAAAAACAGTGGCCCAGGGGCCAGCAGGTGGTATGATGGTTAAGGTGCTGAACTCCCACATGACTGATCATGGTTCAAGTCCTGGACCTGGCAGCTTGAAAATCATGCCAAGTACATGTATATGTGTCCCAAATCCAAAGAAGAGTAGGGACTGTGACGTGGCCATCCCCCTGGGGGGGGGGTGATTTCTCACTTTCCCTCTCTGTGTCTCTCTCCAGCAAGCTCACATGCACTATGACAGAAAAAAGGGGGGGGGGCATGAGACCAGCAGGGGTAGGGATTTAGGTGCTGAACTCCCACGTGGTAGACTGGTTTATTAAGGTGCTGAACTCCCACGTGGTAGACTGGTTTGAGTCCCAGACCCGGCAGCTTGAAACTTCATGCTGGGTACGTGTGGAAAAGAAGGGATTGCAGCATGACCACCCCTCCCGGAGGGGATTTCTCACATTCTATCTGTTTCTGTCTCTCTGGCGAGTGCAAAAAAACTCAAAAAAAAAAAAAAAGCATCCTGGTCTGGGGGGTTGGTGTGCTGGCACACCACTGCACAGTATGAGCTGTGTGGAAGCCCAGGCGCAGTCCTGGCTTGACCTGCCCATGTGCCCCGATCCTGGCTAGCTGGGAAGGCTGTGAGGAAAGTCCCAGTGGTGTGAGAGTATTGAGGGTTTTGGCTTCTCTTTCTCTGATAAACGATAAAGAAGTATAAGCTTACCGAGATCTGTTAGATACTGTTAAATTCCCTTAAGAATGAAGTAGTTAAACTTTGGATTTCTGCCCATTTGATGGGTGAAAACCCTGGGGATTCTCAGTATGGGGCCTGCCACATGTATTTTTTAGAAAAATTCCCACCAGTGATTTTCATACATTGTTAGGATTGAGAATCACTGACATACTTGCCAACTTTTTTTCCCCCTATTCTCACAAGGGGGACTACCAACACTAATGCCATTAACAATTTTTCTTGTTAATTTGTTATGAGCCTTTTCTATGATCATTTTCTTTGTTTTTATTACACGTGTGTGTGTGTGTGCAGGAGAGAGTGTGTGTATGTACCCCTACAGGTGTGGTCACACTGCAGTCCTCTGTCTTCCCATTCTTTGTCCACTTAGGACCCTGGGCATGTGCACGCACACCCAGCATGTAAGCTGGGCTGGGGCTCGAACCTGGTGGGCCTGTGGGATCTGCCTCCCTCTGCAAGCGCCGACGTGTGTGCCAGCCTGTTCTTAGCTCTGTGTTTCTGTTCATCTGTACTTGCTGCCTTCTGGCCCAACTTCTCCCCTCCCCTCCCTGCTCAGACCTGATCTTCCTCTCTCTGAGTCTCTCGGAGGTCACAGAGCCTTGACCTTGTGGCCTGCAGGTGTCTGACTTCCGGGAGCAGCTGTTGGCTTGTGCTGGGGTGGAAGCCGAGCGTGTGGTAGAGTTTTCCTGCGGTAAGACCCGTGTCCAGGGGTGGAAGGAGGAAGGTGGAGGTAGCCGGGTGTTCCCATTCCACCTATGGTCCTGGTTTGACCACGTGCTGTTACAGGTTGGGCAAGGGGAGCACAGGGGGCCTTGCCCTTTGCCAGCTTGCTCATGAGCTCACGCCCTCCCCAACCCCCCGCCCCACCCCGCTGTCTGCACTGCCTGGTGTCACCGTGGTGATGACGTGGTGGGGTGGGCGAGTGTTAGAAACTGCTGTGCCTGCTCTGCAGACAGGTTGGGGAGATGCCCTTCCTGGACCCTGCTTTGCAGAGCAGTCTGCACCTGAGTTGACAGCCCCTCCTTGGGTCTCGCCAGGTCACGTGATCCCTCCAGACAACATCCTGCCCCTGGTCATCTGCAGCGGACCCTGCAGCCAGCCCCTGGAGTTCACGTATGAGAAGAGAGAGCTGCCCCAGATGGTCAGTACATGGCTGTGGCTGGGGAGAGGCGGCCGGGCAGTCAGCTCAGCTGCATAGCAGCAGGTCTGCCCAGGCGTGGATCAGGGAGGGTTCCCCACCCAGGCACCCCTCCGGGATGGCCCTACAAAGCTCAGGGAGCCCTGCCTGTCCTTGAAGGCTGGTGCTGTGGTCGTGTTGACCCTGCCTTGGGGAGGGGGCAGGGAGCAGGTCTCAGGCACACCTCTACTGGGGACCTGGGTGACCAGGCCTCGCTCCTCAGGGTTGTAGGGGCTGATGAGGGCTGATGGCTGTGTTGTCTCTGTGGTGCACTGTGGGGGCGCAGTCACAGCATGGCCCTAGTTCTTTCTGGTGTTGGGGGACCCGTTCCACTCAGATTCCCACCCAGGCAGCCCCTTGGCCTGAGTCCTACCTGTCGTCATGCATGGACTCCTGCCCTTGGTTTTGGGCCCCAAGGTCAGGAAGTTGTTTGGGGGTGGCTTTGGGGGCTGCTCCATGGGACTCCTTGACCTCCTCAGATGGACGAGACGGGCCGCATCCTCTGTAACCTGTGTGGAGTGGTCCCAGGGGGCATGGTCTGTTTCTTCCCCTCCTATGAGTACCAGCGCCAGGTCCACGCCCACTGGGACAAGAGTGGCCTGCTGGCCCGCCTGGCCATCAGGAAAAAAGTGAGTAGCCCATCAGTGGGGTCCCTCTCGGAGCCCCTCCCCCACCACGATGCCCTAAGCCCTGCCCAGAGGAGCCCCCAGAGGCCGTGGCCCTGAGGTTCCCGAGTCCCCACTGGAAAGCACAAGGCCGAGAGCAGGGTGAGTGCCGGCTCTCTGGAACCTGCTCTGGGACACCCTGCCTCCCTCCAGATCTTCCAGGAGCCCCGGAGAGCAAACCAGGTGGAGCAGGTGCTGGCGGAGTACTCCAGGTGCATCAGGGTGAGGGGCACCTCCGGGGTGCGGGCTCAGGGACCTGGCGGGCTTCGCGGTTGCCGGAGCTGGCCGACAGCGGGGCTGGGTATCTCCTGCAGAGCTGTGGCCAGGCAGGAACCGCAGTGACAGGGGCCCTGCTCCTCTCGGTGGTTGGTGGCAAGATGAGCGAAGGGATCAACTTTTCTGACGACCTAGGCCGGTAGGTAGGGGTCCCCTCATCTAGGTGTAGTGCCCTCCGCCCTGTGGCATGGGCAGCAGGGCCCTGCCTGCCATTTGGTGCATCCGGGTCTGCTCCCAGGCCAACTGCTTTGGGCCTGCCAGCTCAGGGAGGGGTCAGCAGCTCTGGAGTCGGCTCTTTGGGAGCCCATGGGAAAGGAGGCAGGCCATGACTAGTCCAGATAGACTCCAGTGACTGGCTTAGGCTGGATCACCTGGCTGGAAAGCACCTTCTCAGTGGCAGGTGCAGGGGGAGGGCCGAGAGAGGACGGGGTGGGAAGAGCAGGTGGCGATGGGCGACGTCGGGAGGACTCGTGTCCCGCCCAGGTGTGTGGTGATGGTGGGCATGCCCTACCCCAACGTGCGGTCTCCAGAGCTGCAGGAGAAGATGGCCTACGTGGATCAGACCATGGTGAGTGCCCCGGATGGGAGTGACTTCCCCATGGAGCTGGCAGAGGTCTGGATGCGGCTCCTGCTTCCTTTCCATGTCACACCTGGTACGTCAGCACTGTCCTGTTTCCTGCCTCCTGGTGCTTGTACGGCTTGTATGGCTGCTC